TCTTGTTTGGCGTGTCAATCCTCGTCTTGGCCGGCGCTTTTGCCCAGTGGTCGAGATCCTGGCCAAATGCCTCGTCGGCAACTCGCTTCTTGGAGTTGGCTTTAGCTGCGGGGAGGGATCCCGGAATTGCCGGCTTAACCACGGCGCGGGTCAGCGACACCGCGTTGGAGTCTTGTTCGTTTTTCGGCACAATCTTTATGATGCGCTCCTCCATGCGCTTCAGTCGCTTGTCCAACATGGCCATGTAGTCGGTCCTCGGTGCGGCTTTCCTGGTTGTCACCTTGTACACGCAGGGAATCCGTGATCGAAGGCAATGCTTGCACGCCGGCTTCTCTCCCGAACAGCGAATCTTTTTACGTCGACATGCGATGCATGCTAGAGGAAGTCGCTTTCGTTCTTTGCCGGCCTTGGTTTTCAACTCGCTCCATGCGGGCGTCTGGTCTGTCTTGTCGTCCTTGGATTTGCCGCCCAGATCGGACCCGTTGCCGGCGATTTGCGTAGGTAGGCCAAACTCATCGGCACCGGCATCCTCGAGTGGATTGTGCTCGGCGTGGCCGCTGTCCTGGCTGCCATCTTCCGAGGTAATGATGCTATGGCGGCGCTGGTTCATGGCCTGCGCAAAACCGACAGGCATGACTGTTATTGAGTTTTGGCGGCCACCGATGGAGGAGACGGAGGGGCGATGCGAGGTCGGGAACATGTCGGCAGCGTGATCTGGTTCGCCGAGGAACATCATTGCGCTTTGGTCGTCCAGCGGGTTCGGAGGGAAAGAAAAGTCGTCGGCAAAATGGGAGGCATCGACGACGCTGTGGTTCGCGCTGTTGGACCGCATACCGTCATTTGGGGTTCCGGAGGAAAAGGGTTGGTGGGACGCCGAGGAAGTGGTTATATGAGAATGGGCTCCGGGCGAGTCGAGAGCGTGGGCATGAGCGTGCTGCTGCGAATATTCGAGACTGACAGCTCTGAGTTGTTGGCTTTGGAGATGCTGCAGGCTTGATGACATTGTCCTTTGTCATGCACGAATCAAGGGGATGATCAACGGAGAGGCGACAGTGGAAGAAGACGGTGCCGAGCGAGCTGGCAAGCTGGCTCCCCGCACAACGCCGGCGCTGAGGACGGCGTTCGTCCCTGTCCCTGTTTATGCCTTTGGACCGCGGTCACCGGTGTAAGTGTGAGTTGGAGCAGTGGGGGAAGAGGGTCACAGCGGTTGCAAGGAAGAGGCACCAGGCGGCGGAAAGGCTCGTTGATGATGGCTGGTATTGATGTCGAGGCCGAGGAATAATCAATCCGGTCGCGTGCGCACTCCTTGGCCGTCGGTGATGAAGATGTTGTCGTCCCGTCTAGTGTTCTCGAAAGAATAAGAAGAGGAATGTTCCACAAAGCTGGCGACAGTAGTACAAAGTTAAGAAAGAACCGGGACTGGATGGGTGGGCGGGGGGCGGAGAGGAGAAGAGGCGTCCGGTCGAGATTTGTCGGAGAAGAGGAACTCTGACTCGACCACTGATTGAGCAGCAAATAGAGAATAAAAAAAATAAAAATAAAAAAATAAAACCCTCCTACCAGAGACGCAGAGGGGCGCAAGACTGGGTCTAGGTCTAGGTCAAGGTCCAGGTTTAGGTGGTCAAGGGAAAGAAAACCAAACCAAACCAGCGGAGCAGATTTGTGATGCTCACTGCTCAGAGAGGAGAAAGATAGGTGATGGGGAATGTCGCCGGCTTGTTCGTGCAGCAAAAACTGGGGTTGGGGAGGGACGGCCGGCCGGGGAGGGGGAGGGGGCGTCGCACAGAGAATGGAAGGATGTAAGGGGGGTGTGGTAATCGGCGACCTGTGATTGCTCGGAAGGGGCGCGGATGCACCAATCCAAGTGGGCGCAGCTGTGGAGCTGCAGGTTGCAGGCGTGCGGTCCACTGTCAGGCGCGGGGGCGTATGTACACGGCGTGCAGGTGGGAGAAGAGTTGGAGACCTTTTTTCCCACACTTCTTTCTTGAACTTCTCAGCACCGCTGCACCTCAACTTGCAGGGGGGGGGGCTCAAGCAATGGGATCGGAAGCGTTTTCGGCGGTCAAATTGTGGGGTGCCGTGGGTGCGTGGGTGCTTCGCTGGAACACGGCCGGGGGGAGTTAGGCGGGTGACGCTGTGACGGTCGTCGAGGTCACTTGAGATGTGCGTCTGTCGTCTGCGTCTACTTCTGCGTCCGCTTTTGCTTCTGCTTCTGCGTCTCCGCCTGCGCTTTCCTTAGTATCTATTCGTAAGGTATGGACAGAGGATGTGGTTTTGCGAAGTGCACACTCAATGTAGCCAAGGTGCTCTCTGCAGGCTCGGTAAGTACCGCACTCACTCACCTCTGACTTTCTCTTTCTCTCCCTCTTCTAACCTAGGTATTTCGCATACGATAGTACTTCTGTGGCGTTTTCAACCGAGGCTTTCCCAGTCTATCCAATTCGCCGGCAATTAAGGTTCTGCTGTTGTTGCTCCTTCAGGAATCTGGTCAGGGGATGTCTCTTGGGCCTGCTGCTTGTTGATGCTGACAGAATGCTCACAGCGGTGCTGACTGTTCCTACGACGGGGTCTGCCTCTCAGGCACGGCCCAAGGTAAGAATAGCGGTCCCCGTCGTCCTCCACGGTGGGGCTGTGTCTCTCTCCAGGTTTGAATGTCGACTCTCTTTGCCTCGTCTCGTGATTTCCAGATGAGGGACCAGATGCCCAGAAACCTTATGTACACAATAAGGTAATCCAGCCGCAGACGATGTATCTGTACGGGTTCAACCTCTCTCTGGTAACTCTCACCGCGGGATGAGTGTGCGTATGGCTAACTAGTTTGTCGTACGTCGTATACCAGGTTGATTGATAGGTTTCTCGTCTTCCTGTGGCTTGTCGGGCTGCCCAGGTGTTGCCGTGGACTTGCAGAGTGGAGAGTACGGATGCTTTGCCATGTACCAGCACTAGAGGCTTGGGGTGGCTGTGGCTTTGACCGTGGGAAGATTTGTTCCGCCCTTTCACACTGAGACTCGGTGACAAGTGTTGGTTTGGATCAAGTCGAAAAGGCGAGCTAGTATAACCGGAAACAATAAATTGCAAAAGTGTGACGTGTGTAAAGATGTGCGGGCGATGCCTCCAAGATCTGCCAAGCTTTTCAAGCGCGCAGGAGATATCCGTTATGCCGTACAGAGTAGAGGAGGTATCTGTACTCGTCCCAACCCAATTGAGAGTGGGCGTGGGGCTTTATAAAAATCGTTCGAGGTACGGATAGAGAGGCTGCATAAACGGATACAACTGCAAAGTTTGAGCCAACTTCATCGAGATACAACAGCATCCAAGATGGTGCAAACATCATACCGCCAGAACTGAGCTTCACTTACAAACCACACAACACCTACACTGCCAGCTTCAACAAGCCCAGTCCCTGCAACCCGACTCAAGTGTCTCGTATGTTCATATGCCTGTATGGAAAGGGGAGGGTTTGGAAGCTCCGGGAGGGTGAACAGGACAAATGTGGGAGATAGACCGAGGTTCCATATCGAGGTCAGACATTTTTTGCTAGATATGAAGGGCGCGCGGCAACAAAAAAAAAAGAGATACGCAACCCAGCTTGTCTCTTCCATAGTAAAGACACGCCCACCAACATGGTGATACCTGAAAAATAGACTTCCACCCTTAAGTCCCTGAAGTCAACCTGAACGTTACATTCAGCGGCCCAACGACAAACATGTCTGGTTGTATGATCGATACTTCGATTCACTGTAGCCAACGAACGCATCGACTGTAGTCCATTTGACTCAACGTCCACGGCAAGAGACAATTAATAACATTGAGCTGTTTGCGATCCTCGTAAGCACACTTGTCGGACCGCGTTCGGTCAGCAATTGTTCCTCCACTCGCCTCTTCGGCCATGAACAGACCCAGATTGATCCTCGCGTCTCTCCAACCAAATCGATCCAGACACGGCCAGAGTCTTCGATGGTTGAGTTCTCGCCGACTCTGGTCTAGCACTCTAGGTAGCTGGCTAGGGCTGCCCCTTGATTTTCGGTGGTGACCGCTGCAGATGAAAGGTTCTCCAGTGCCATCCCAACCCAAGGCCCACGATGGCAGTGCGAACAGATGTGGATGCCTCCACCACCACAAAGTGGGTGGGAGAGCCGGGGGGCACTGGACATCCACGCCAGAATGTGGGACCAAGAGTCGAAGGGGGATCCTGGGGCACGCGCCTAATCAGGGTTGAATCGGGGGGATCAAGTGGGAGAGCCGGAAGCCCAGTGGATCCGCAACCAGAGGCAACTTCCGAGACTCTCCCGGTACGAGTGGGTACCCATGCGCCGTGCCCAGACTAAAATACTAATGTACGAGGATGCCATGATATTCTGGTGAGCCGTTAACATTGACCAATTTCTGTCGAGTCTGTAAAGACATGGGTATCGAATTAAAGCCAGATAGACCGAGTTCGACTGTGCGCTTCTCCGTTGACCGTGGTGTGGCATATGTTGAGGCGCGGACAGGGATTAAACGTTCCGGGTGCCAAGCGTGTGTAGAATCCAGAGGTCCGCCGTTGCATTTGGTGGCATGCCGTGGTCTATTCAGACTTATTCTTGGCCGTCGGTTCGGTATGATTTCTACAGTCGCATTCCAGCGGCGAGCTAGAAAGAACACCAACGTTTTGCGGAGAAACGGGACAGGCACTCGCCGTTCTATGAATGGCGCATCGACAAAAATTGCAAACACCAGCCCATCCTAGGAGGTATAAGCAGGTGATCTTGCGGCCATGTGTCTCCGCCGCAGAGAGGCATCCCAAGAGGGATCATGAAAGGTGGTTGGCCGCCTGCGGCTGATCCCCTGTAACCCTACTACAGTGCTACCGTGTTTGGGGCCTCAGATATGTGGTGGAATCTCATCCTCGTCACGTCAGTGTCTACTCCGTACACCGTTGCTTGTGTTGCATCTCAGCAAAGTGCCAAAGAAGGCCGCCGTCAACCTGCCATGGCCTACCTGGTCGGCCGCGGGTCCCATCAGGAACGGTCAGAGCAGGGCGGCAGCGGCCAAGGGACCCCGGAGACGGAACAGGAGCCAGCACTGCAAGCCTGCATCGGTTTGGCCTTGATCCGTGTTTGTTCGGGCTGGCCCAGACCACCCTGCAGCCCTGGTGCCTCGCCTGCTGCAGATTCACAGCCAAGTGTGGTGGATTCTTGTCGACGACGACCGGATCTGTACGGGATGGCGCCCCGATTGCGACCCCTGTAGCCAGTACTTCTTGTTGGGACAAGACTTGAATTGGACTCTGACAATATCTGGTGAAGAGGGAAAAAGTACGAAGTCTCTGAAGAGCCACTAGCTCGGGTTTCAGCGGCGCCAACGGAATGGGGCGTACGGATGGATAGGCGTAGGTAGGCGCGCAGGCAAATCATCTTGTGCTGGTTGTTTGGTTTGGCCGAAGTTGGATCGTGGGGACTAGCACATTGAGGCACATTGCGACCTCGAAGCGTAGCATCTGAGAAGCCTCCGTACATGGTTGCTTGGTTCTTCTTTCGACGTGCGTATTTGAATCCAGCATTGCTGGGATTGGACATCTGGATTCGAGATGGAGCCCAAGGGTGATCTTCCTGAGGGCCGGGGTTCAGGTGGTGTAGCGGACGTCATTCGGTCAAACCAGGGATGGGGTAGCTTCAGTCCTCCTAAAGCGCTGTATATGGTCACGACGGGTCAATGTTGCCAGCACTTTGAGATACGAATCTCCGGGCAGAAAAGCTGGAAGAAAGAATAGAAGTCCTGATGGCTTTGGGCTGAAGTCTGAAGAACGGCTTGGGCCTGAGCCTACGAGGGTGAGGATGAGGCGTACCGATTTCATCAGAGTGGCGGATCGTCTGGAGCGGTCGAAATTCGGGGTTGGCAAGACAAGTTGGAGAAGAGGACCGGATGGGGATGGAGCAGGTAGATCGTGATAATATCCGAGCGTTGATAGGAGGGAAGGATTTTGGTGGAGGTTTGTGAGGGTTGGGGTGTCTGTGTTTGTCTGTCACTCTGTCTGCACGACAGCGACGAAGTAGTGGGAGTGGAAGTGGGAGCGGGAGTGTGGAGGGCAGACGCTAGCAGAGCAGGGCAGACCTGAGCCCAATTGGAAGGACCCACCGTACCTTAGCTAAGGTGCTCCCTTTTATGAGGTAGTGTACCTACCCCTCCAAGCCCCTTCCCCATCTTGTTTTGGGAAAGGACGATGTGGCTGGCACGGCTAGTAGTCGAAACGCAATACATAGACGCTTTGCACATTGAGGCAATGGGGGTAGGTACTGGGGGCTTGATTATTGTTGCTGATGTAAGAGACGCCATGTGGGGAGTCAAAGGCGTGCCTAACTCTACGGACTCGTGACCACAGTCTAAGCAGTAAAGTAGCACGGCACTGCGGCACCTGAGCCTTACTTGGAGAAGGTCTGGCCTGGGCTGTGAGGGTGGAGGGTGTCTTGACTTGGGTTTCCAAGCGTGAGATAGCTTGCTCGCATTGTTTTTGATCCGCGTGGAAAGCACCCAGGTGGAAGGGTCCTGGCAACACAAAGAAGACGGCCTGGATGGGAAGCCACACATGCCAAGATGACAATTCTGAGACCTCCACGTTCAGGAGTCCCGGGAAACAGGTCAACAAGTCAGGAACAGGCCCAGACTCAAAGTCTAGCGGAAGTCCTTGGCACTCATTACATTTCTTTGATCTCTTGATCTCAGGGTTCAACCACATCTGGAATCCGCATGACTCTACCATTCATCTATCCAGGTCAACTTTGAAAACGGTATTGTAGCCTGTAGGTCGATGTATCCCAAGCTCTCCATTTGCAAAGCTCCACGATACCGCAGCAGACTACCAGTACTGTATCGCTACGTGAGTACGGTACATACTAGGATACTGGTACCCACAGGTCCTGAAGATCACTGCGGAAAATAAGGTGCCACAGAACACTACTGCATACGGAGTACACTAATATGAATTTCTCAAGCCACGCGATCAGTGAATGATCAACAGCGGCGTATCTGGAGATGGCTACCTCATACTTGACCCCAGCGGAATCCACTTGCTGTACGGCGGAACTGGCCCCGTTGAGTGAAGGTTCGTGGCTCGGGGACCAGTCCGGGCTCTACCACCAGACAAGGTAAAGGCTCTCGAGCTACAGCTCAACGGCGCAATTACGTGACGCTGCCAGACTACCTTAGCCAGCCGCGCAAGCCGTCAAGCCATCAAAGCCTTGAGCTATTCTTTTCAGTTCAATGTCATGGCTTTGCGGTCGTAGAAGCTCCGAATTGATAGGTTCAAGGAAATTCCGCATTGACATTCCGTATCGGCGATAGGGTTTAATTGGAGTGGAGGGCTTGTGCTCAAGTCGTCACGAGAACGGAAGTATTGGTGACCGTTGACGTCGGACGGCTCTCTAATACCTTACGGTACGTTCCTAGGTCTCGCAAACCTACATTTCGCATTGTCCTGAATGTCGGCCAAATACCAGAAATCGTTCGACTTTCATCGCGCAAGGTAGACTAGCACTAGGGGCAGGCATAACCAATACCACCCCTAATTCGACGGTTGATGATTGACCAGTGCGTAGGACAAGGGGCTGCAGCAAGATCGAAACGGGACACGCTTAATTCCTCCACAAAGTGTCTGCTTGAAAAGTAGGTATTACCTTTGAGGGACTGAACCCAGACGAAAGGTATCTTGGTTAACATACAAACTTCCAAGTGTACGTGCTTGGCATCTCAGATAAAGGTACTTGGGTACGTATAGAGACCCTGTAGAGAGAAAGAGTACCAGTACCTGACAAGCTGAGATGATGTTCGTATCCACTCCAATCAGTCCATCCCTCCTTTCCAATCTTCCCAAGAACGAAGCTTCCTCTTCAGAACCTCGTCGAAGTCTTAAGTAGGTAATGGAAGTCGATCCTTTCGATCTCGGACTTCGAGGCAGGTATGACTTCTATCAGGCACATGAGAGGCTTTCCTCTCCTCACTAGTGATGCATCCGATGCCTTGGAACAGCTCGTATCTGGATGTTCTGACTCTATTACTACTGCATTCTCATTCCGACCTTCTAGGTCCGCTAAAACAACGCGGTTCACGTTTCCCCAGCTCCGGCTTGTGGAATTCTGACCTGGAAATGAATGAAGTTAGCAGCTAGAGGAAAATATTGTTCCACATTTCCTGCCTTAGTGTGTCCCGGCTTCAGATGAGCTGCATTCACATGGCGACTTCCCTACGTGCGTGTGTGCTACCTATCTACCTTACACTACTTGCCCCCCTCCGTGCCCCTCCAACCTCAACCTAAACTACGCAACATCTTGGGCTGCAAGATCATCATCGCCCAGCGTGAACGACTCGTCTGCCGGGTTGTTTCCACATCAACCTCCTGAACATCTCTCCTTTCATCGACCGTAATCCGACTTTCACCTTCTCAGCCCCGCTCCAGTTTGCTTTGACCGACTACGGGAATCGATGTTGTGTTCCCCTTCAGGCCCTTCAGGGACAACATTCCAGGTACAGGGACGAGCAATACCTCCTATGATGTTGGCGACTACATCCCTGGCGGAGCCCCTGAGCGACAATCGAGCTTGTCCTTGACGCCGTCTTGGATCGACTTGTCGAGAAGAGTTTGACACGCCGCCAGCCAGACCATCAAAGTGTCAGTCGCAACGGGAGTGGGAACCGCCGTTGACACGCCACGCCACGCCTACCTATTCTTAACTTCGTTCTAAGTCCCCTTCGAGAAAGGCCGACTTCAGATGAGAGCTGGAGCCCCAATCATGCCCTTCCACCACCGAGAACTTCCTGGGATCGACACATTCTCAACCTCATCAGCGTCGAGGCAGCACGACTGCACTGGGATGGCCCCCAGAGTTGCTCCGGTTTCATACCCACCCTCCGTGCTTGAGACCTGCCTTAACGCTACTTTGTTAAGCCCTCCATCCCTCCCCGGAACCCCCTGACGACTTCCATGGTTGACTTCTTCATCCTCCTCCCGGCGATGACGACTTGCTGATGCGGCCTGTCTCGAGAAATCGCGCCGACCAGGCGGTGCAGCTGAGACCTCTGAATTCCGCCAGATGCCAGCTGCTTGGTGCCAGCCAACGGTATAGATTAGACGGAACAGAGCCAAACAAGACAGTGTATCCCAGGCAAGTACGCGACCTCTTCTCGTTCTTATTCCGTTGTGCTAATGTATCATCACCGATACTAGCGCTCCCGGCGCCAAACACATCATCAACTTCAGAGCCACCACAATCCGTTCGAGATTGAACAACGTTTGTCGACCAGAAGAGCCAACTGCGAAGACGCTGTCATAGGGTTTCTCGCGCCCTCTGACAGGACTGTCCGGGTTGACGACAAGCCCTATGCTTGCTCACCTGTCACCGTCATCTCGGAGGGCTGACGGGGACAAACTATCGTCAACGTCGCATCCACAGGCATTACAACCTTGCTCTGGCTCACCCAAGCTGCCAAACATCACAGATAAAGGCTAAACCATGGTGGTACTCTTCTACGGAGCACTTCTCGACTGTAGTCAACGGACAACTCATCAGGTCAATAATCTTTCGACACTACGAGTGGTTTTTACTTGGCATGTTCGTGTTCCATCTGCCCGCACCCCCTCCTTCGAGGCGACAGTGTTAATTTCATCAGAAGGAATAGGCACGTACCTCGGAGCTTTCCTCGCAAATCTCATCTCGTTGCGTAGTGTACGGCTACACTGCACACATCCCCCGCGCGCCCCAGTCTCTGTCTTTCCCCGACCGCCCTGCTCCTTGTCGATGCTTGGGTAAATGCATGACTGGCTATGCAATTTGCGTGTTGTCGGCGAGAAAGGCTCATCAATCAAGGATGCAACAGCCTGCGTGGTCACATAGGGATCGAGCGATGTACACTACGTCTACATGCAAGCCCGTTCTTCTCCACGAACCCCCGCCGGATGATCTCCATCGCCTCCCCCCTTCCTGACACCTCGCAAAGGGATAGTCATCAAACCCTTGTCATGTTTATCCGCGATACCTCCAAGCAGCAAAGGCTAGCCAGCCTTTTTTTTTTTTTTTTTTTTTTTTTTTCAAAAAACGCTTTGGTGGACCCTTTGCCATTACTGATAAACCCTGTTCCTCAGTAGCGACGCAGCGCAACCGAGCATCCGCGCAGCCGATGAAGGATTTTGAGCTGTGTTAGCCTGTGAGTGGGCAAGCTTTGAAAGGACGATAGTTATGAGTGTGTCGACGAAAACCACATGGGCGCATTCTTCCGAGAGACTACCATGGCACGCGAGGAGCCAAGCGTAGTGTATTGATATGTATAACACGGACCGATATGCTTAGTTTTCGGGACAAGATACCACGGAGTGCGCACGCGGCTGCTTCATGGTCGCCAAAAGGGGTCGGCGTGTGCCACGTACGCCTTCGCGAACTTATGCTTCGGTTCATATCGCGACTTTAGACGGGCTTGAGCCGAGCGTACCGTAGAAGGAGAAAAACTGCTCGGGCGTAACGTAACACGTACATCTCACGGAACGATGCAGCTGTCAAACACGAGGTTGAAGCAGATTGTTTGGCTCGGGGGAGACGTGTTTGGGCTCGATCAGCCAAGTATACGCCTCGCAAGAGACACATGGAGTTGAGGTAGGGAATCTTTATTCGTTCTGCTGGCTTACACAGTAGACAGTAGGAGATGAGTAGGAAGCACACAGGGCCTTGCAGCAGTTATGGTTGGGCAATCCGTCGTCAAGGTCCTACTCGTTGTATCGCCTTTTAGGCGGCCATTGTACTCCGTACACAGTTTACCATCCCGCCTGATATTTGACTTTGGAAGACGGGATGATCTCAGCTCCGGAGACCAAATGTGGTCCCCGACGGACAACATGTTCAGGGCCGCATCCCGTCAGACTCTGAGCAGCGACATTGATCACGCCCATACTGGAGGCGCAGACGACGTGTAGGGACCTCGGGGTGGTTATGTTTTCCTACGATGTATGTCGTCGGCGGCGGAACCCGCAAGGAACTGTCTCCCATGAGACCTTAGTAGCGTCGACGTCGTTCGGTCGTGCGCACCTAGGCGAGGCGAAGTTTGGAGAGCACAGATTTGGAGGGGTAAAAAGCTCCAAAGATGCCTCTGAGTCTTGAGAATGAGGCCCTAGCTGGCCTTACTAAGTCCTTAGCGATGATCACAAACGGTCTTCGTCCCGGAGCCAAATAATTAAGAGACCTTGCTGTGTACAGGCTTACATGACCTAGAAAACAGTCACTTGCCATTGGTCTTCCTCGACTCGCCCTACCAGTAGACGCAATACAACGAATGCAATGGCACTAACGGCGCATCTTCTCGGTGCAATCTGGAATGTTCAAGCGTGCACCTGCCACCTGGTGATCCGGCCGCCCGAGTGGAGAATCCACTCTTCACCCTTATTAGTGTAGGTACTGGCGAATTATCATCACGGCTCCCTGTCGGCACCGTGCCTTTCCTTTACCTGCCTAGGTGGGTGCCTTAGCTAACCGTGAGGTAAGGACACAGGTAAGGATATGCGACGTTTCGATGCCAGCCTGGGAAACAGACTTTTGTCGCACGCCCCCCTTTCCTTCAGTACTGTGGTATGTACCATCGTATATCCCACCCCTCCCGGGGATATTCTCCACTCTCTCCATCATTCCCTGTCATTCCCATTTTTCTCCCGCGCAAGCCCCCCCGTCACTCAATCCCAGCGGACCCACCTCCGTCCGCACGTCCAAAGATACGACTGGCTCTTCACCTCAACGCCACAACCACGGCCCTACGCCTCGATCTGCACTACTAACGATGAGAGACAAGGCTCCGAATCCCTCCTTGCTGCTCGGGCTGGTGGGCTGAAGGAAGGGGTTGACAGGCGTGACAGGCTTCGGAGGGAGGCGGAGACGGAGCAAGGCGACTGGGCCTTCAAGTCTCGGATTCTCGAAAGATGGACGCCAGGCCACCAGCTTTGACTCTACAGCCTTGTCCACAGCCGCAGCCCTTCGGTCTTGGATCCGAAGAGGGCTAGCGAAGATCGCCCGGGGGATGAATTAAGATGATGTTCAAAATCACAGTGAGACTAGTCAGGACCAGGAGGGCTTGTTGCTTAATTTTTTGAACAGAACGCCTTCTCTTTCCTTCCCAACCGCCATCTTGCCTTTCTCCTTTGGGAATGAACGTCCCACGCGCTTCGAGAGGTGCAGGCATACGTTTGGGTACAGATAGACGACGCTCAGACGCGTTCTCTCCCGTGTCCGTACATCCTTCTTCATCTCTCTCTGCCCTCATACCGCGGAGACGCCGTTAGACGTACCCGATGTACTAGGCTCGGAACGCAGGGCCTTGGGGCCGCGCCAGCCTATGGAAGGCCTCATCTCATCATTACGAGCTGGGTTCGAGGAAGGGCGGCGCAACGTTTCCCCCCTAATGGACCATACCGGTTGTTGATATGGCATCCATCTAAGAGAGCCCGCATCTGCCCTGCCCAAGCGGCAGCATGGCCCCCGGAGATCCTGCTCGCGTAACGGTCGTTCCTCATCGGCCCGTCTGCGACTTCATCTCGAGACCCGCCCACCCGTCGTCGTAGGGATCGTGTTTGGCAAAGAGACGAGCTCTGTGTGTCTTCGGAGAGAGCGAGTGCTCGCGTTTTCCGCTTGCTGTGTAGAGAGGCCACCAATCCAGGACATTTCTGAACAGGATCTCTTGCGGGCAAGCCAATGGCGAGACAAGACGATTCAATGAGCCCCTGAATTCTCGCTTTTGTTTGGACGTGCTCGTCCACGTCACTCCAAACAAAGCAGATTCCGAGAGATGCCCGTTGTTTCTGTAGACAGGAATAGAGTCGTCGGTGCAAAGGTTCGCTTCTCTGGGTCATCCAATGGCAGGATGAGACGGGCCTCTCTCTCCTTTCCTTCTCTCATCCGACCTCCTAATTGCTGTATCGAAGGCGGAAGCATCACATCCGGGTCGTGGTTCCCACCAAATCACCACCATCAACCTGGGCATCTCATCTTTCAAGTAAGGGAGTCAGGAATAGAAGCAGGAAGTATCGGCCGTTCCGTCTCGTGAGGTTGGAGAGGGAGAAGAGGGCGGCATAGCCTCCTTTCAGTATCCAACTTCACCGATGAAAAGGACATTGATCCATGACACGCAAAACATAGTTACACACCACCACGGATCCCGAGATCTGGGCATCCCATCGCGGGATCTAAGGTAGAGTTTAAGAATAGACAAAGTCCGGTCGGTCATCCCGTCTTCTTTGTCCAGTTTCCTGGGACGCAACAGACTTCTGTGAGACGGAAAGGGGAAGAGAAGGCATCCAATCGTGGAGCGTAGTCTGTAATGAGAGGTGAACGCTTGACACACGCGAGTGCCTTCCACCCTTCACGATCCTGTTCTCTTGCGCAAGGTAGTTTGTAGTAGACGATGCTATAGATATCGGACACTTATTATCCCCTGATTCCTATCGAAACCCCGCCTACCTAGATGTGAGATGTGTTCAGCCCGAGGGCGGGATATGAGCCTCCTTCGATGCTCCTTCGGGATGGGCTACGTCTCTATCTGTCGACATCATGCTTGTCAGTATCGAAGCAGTCAAAAAGCTCCTCAGGGATCTGGTTCACTAGTCCATCCAAAAGGCGGACGAAAATAGTAAACAAGACTTACCCCATCTCATACTTTCCCTCCCATCCCCCCCGGGGAACGTACGTAGCCAAGAGGCTGTGAGAAGCTTGTTCATCCCGGACCGTGAATGGAATCAAGACATCAGATGCTCAATGTCAATACCAAACACGGGGCGGAATACCATCCATACCCCTTCCCCCTTTTCCCCTCGTCATGGAGGTTTCATGAGACTATCTCGATCTGCCCTCCCTCGGAGACATTTCGGGGAACAAATGTCCAACGGTGGAGAGGTACAGGAGAGAAGGAGGGAGCGAGATACAGGTGCATCCAATCTGCTCAAGTTCAGGGTACTATCACCGTAGCGATCCGGTTCGGACCTATTCTCGTCCCCTTACCCGTGTCCATCAAAGCATTCAAGATTCAAACGGAAAGCGTCAACATCAACATCAGCACCTACCAACAACGCACTCCATCTCCCCAGGAAAACCCGGCGTATATCACGGCCAAGCTCAGGATGTATCCCTTCCCCTCCTCCTTCTTCCACCTTCCACACCTTCCTTCTTCCACCTTCCACACCTTCCTTCTTCCACCTTCCACACCTTCCTTCTTCCTCTCACTTCTACATCCACTCTCCACCCACTTCCTCACAAGCCCCCCCCCCCCCTTCCTTACATCACCCCACGAAACGGAAACATTCGTCCTCTTCACCACATTCTCAAGATATGAGATACAACGTCCAAGATACAAGATGACAACGGCGATAACAACCAGACGAGGTCCAATATCGCGAGGGATAGTATAGATCAAAGGCCCCTTTTCTCCTCGACCAAAGCCTCCCCTCACCTTCCCGCTCCCGTCTCATCCCTTCCCTTCACATCGATTCCCTTCCATGATATCTTACCCATACTGGCATACACCCCTTCCTTCGTCTCCAAGGATGAAGCCTCACCAGCATATCCTTCCTCTATCTTCCTCCCGACACCCTGCCACCAAGACAGACAGACAAACGCGTGGATTGATCATATCCACCGGTGTCATTGAACCCCTTCCCGTACCTACTCCCGCACACAACATCACGCGCAGCAGGCATCAAAGAGGAAAAACTCTGCTCACATCCACAACCTTCCTCATTTCATTATCAGAAAAACACTATAGTTATGACGGGAGGGACCAGATCTCCTGGCCCCTGGATGCCTGCCTCCGGAAAACCCGTCCAAGTAGACAATGACAGTAACGTTGGAAATTTTCCAAAACTCCACGTACCAATGCAATGCTAATCTAATGCTCCGGTTCTTCTCCCTAAACCTGGAATACGACAAACACCGGACACCAGACTTTCCCCCTTTTACTCAAAGTGACGCAATCCACCAACAGAACCCCCTTTAGGCACCCTCGGCCTTGTCCTTGCCAATATACACCGGAATGCCGTATATACATACCGCGCCAGCCGTGATGTACCTAAATCGACAGGCGTCCCTAGCCCTGGCGACAGCCTCCACGAGCGACGCGGTTCCACGCCCGGTAGCCTTCGTTGTCTCCTTCTTCGCCTTGCTCTTCTTCTCCGTAGCAAAAAGTCCCTTGCCCTTGCCCTTCTTCTTCGAGCTGTCCTCAACAAACGTGCCCCTTTCCATCAGTCCCCATTCCTCAAACAGCTGGCCCGCGTAACGGTCAATATCCCTATCCGTCACGTCCCACAACGTGCCCACGACGGCGGGACATCCGGCGAGCATGTAGTTCCACACAGGGCCGTGGCACTCGTACTCGCCGACGTTCTGCAGCGACGCCGAGCTACAACCCATCAAGAGCGCCGCCGCCTTGCACTTCTCCAGTCTGCGGATCGTCTTGCCTCGAATGTACTGCGCGCCGCTGCCGTGGCCAAAGTACAGGAGTATGTCAGACTTCTTGAGCGCTCCCTCAAACTCATCCTCGGTTGGTGCACGCGAGACGATGCCCGTCCAGGACTCCCCCAGCTTCTCCTTGAGGGGCTTCTCAAAAGTGGCGAGAGTGTTCTTGAGGTCAGAACCAGGGTTCAGAATGTATGTGCCACCGACAGGTGATACAGTGTGTCGGTGATGAACTTTTTCGTCATCAGAATCCTGGGCCTCGTGCTGCTCAAGGAGCAGTCGACGCAGACAGGATAATGAGGGAACACGAGAATATGCCAGACCCTCCGTGCACGGGAGTGATTCCCAAGGGAAGGCATGGAGAGCCTTGTCGAGGATGAGAATGCTGTGGGCGCCTTCCTCGGGCTCCGAGGTCTTGGCAGCGTTATGGTACGCCTGAAGAGCATCAAACGTATCCAAGACCATGGAGTCAAAGTCAATCTCATCATAGGCGTTTCTTTCGCCGTGGAACTGAAGAATGTCCACAACAAAGTAGAGAAGATCGTTCAGAGGCTCCTCCAGATCGCTGTCCGGCATAGATGGGTCTCCCAGACCGACAAAAAGGTCCAGGATACGCGGCTCCAAGTTAATTTTGGGGGATTTGCTAGTCTTCTTTCCTCGGACCTGCCTACGTGATGGCAGATGCTTGTCAAGAATCTTGGAAAAGGCCTTTTGGAACTTGGCAATGAGATCAGCGCGATGGCGATGTTGGGAGAAGATGCCCTTGAATCCGCCGAGCCAGACCTGCTCAACATTGTCGAGGAGATCCTTGAATCTGTTGTCCAAGTTCTCGCGTTGAGCCCACCACGCTGATTTGGCCCCCTTTGCAGTGTAGTCACCAGTGTTGTGGCAACTCGCGTTGGTCGCCTGGATAATATCCATAAGCTCGTCGTGTCCATGCTGAAAGTCGAACAGCTCATCCTCGCCGTCGCGAGAAGCCACACGCTCCAGCGGTAGTCGCAAGACAAAAGGGCTCTGTCCTGATTGTAACTTGGTAATACACAAATCCTTGCGGTTGTCGCTTAGCGCGATCGACAAGACACTCCACGCTTCAGGAATGATGTCGATATAGTCACGCTGGAATTTCGCCATATCATCAATAGAAACAATGCTTGCCCGTCTGTCATCCTTGAGCGTGAGAGCAAGTGGCCAGCCTGCCTCGCTGAAGCTGGCATTGAGATGATCCGTAGCCACGGTGTTTCGCTCCCGTTTCCAAGTCAGATTTCGTGCAAACTCGACAGAGCAGGCGGCATAGCCAAAGCCTCCCAGGTGTTTAGGCGTCCGATGAGAGGCTGCCGATAGGAAAATGCCCGTGCTCTGAAGCAACGCAGAGATGCGATGAACCAGGTGTCCGTTTCCTGAAATAGCAGCGGCAGCTTGAGCTTCCATGAGCTGAGCTTGCGCTTGTTCCAAAGTTTCGACAAAGGTTGCGTTTTCTCTCATCACCTTACGCTCGGCAGAGGTAGCGCGGCCCTGAGCCTTTCGCGGAGAGGAACCCGTCGGTTGCGTCTTCTCCGTGTTATTTTTGTCGGGAGCAGCGTGGATGGACGGGTAAGAGATGGTTGATTCCTTCACAACTGAGAAGACTGAATCGCCCTCCATCTGCTTGATACCCTGTTCAATCAAACAAGTAGCCTCGCCAATCTGGACTCGCAAAGACTCTCGCAAGCTGCTGGACATCTGCTTCGCCTCCTCGAGAAGTTCTGCTGCTGCAGCCCAGTCGCCCTTACTAAGGTGGACAAGTGCTTTGTATAACAGCATGGAGGCTTTGAGGTCGGATGCGCTATCGTTTGCTGCAACAACAGCGGCCTTGGGAGGAGCAGCAGTAGCTTTTGCCTTGGGCGCTGCCACTCTTCTCGTAACTCTGGTCGCTCTGGTCGCTGCTGGAACCGCTGGCTTGGTCACTCGTGTTCTGCGCGCAGCCGGTGCCTTGAGCGTGAGCTTTGCCATCTTGTTGACCACCTGCTCATCGTTGACGCCAGTAATTGCGCCCCGGTTGCTGCTATTTAAAGTCCCAAGCGTGACCTCGGCGAGCTCGAGGAGTAGAGTCTCGTTCTCATGATCCTTCATTTCTCCGAACGAAGCACTCAGCTCGCAAGCCAGCTGGAATGCTTGACGTGTCGGCTTGACAGCCGTGGCCATGAGCTGCCTTGCTTCGTTCAAGTAGCCAAGGCTCTTATCGAGTTTGTAGGCCTTCAGCCATACTGAACCGATCCAAGTCGCAGCCTGAGCTCTGTAGATGGAGGCGTTTGTGGCGTTGGCGACCTGGTGCGCCTTCTCCGCGTAATAGACAGTCTCTTGAAACATTCCAAGATGAGCGTATACTGAAGAAAGGTGCAGCATGGCTCTCAGCAGACCACAAGCAAGTGCCCAGCTGTCAGGGCCGTCGGATAGCTCCATCAGATTTGTCGAAATGCCAGTCGACACCAGACTTTCCTCCGCATCAGGAGAACCTTCTCTAGAGATCTGCTTAGACTCTGCCTTGGGCGCATCTTTCCAGCGAGCCTCTAATTTTGTCCAGTCCTGGAACAAGATTCGCACGCTCGTCTTGGCGTGGAACAGAGCATGCTGATATTCGCCCTTGTCCCATTTGATTCGGGAAGAAAGACTGGCAGCTCTTGCCAAAAGCAACTTTCTTTGGAGCTTAGGAGCCTTCCTCGCACTGGAAGAGTTCTCGAAGGTAGCCTCGCCCTGCAGCAGCATCTTGTGACTACCTATTGTTAGCTGAATACCCTAATTATTTTGGGAGATATGACTTACGCCGCCTCAGAGTTTTGGTTTGCCAGCTGATACTCAGTGAGAGAGATCTGGAGGTTTACCGCACCAAAGTCGGGATTGGTGGCTGTGGCCTCTGCGAGTTTCTTGGCTTTGTTGAGAATCTCTTCGGCCTTCTCGGAATAACCGAGATGCGTGTACTGGTCTGCGAGGTTGCTGTGCGCCTGGAGAAGCAAGTCCGTGGAGGAATCGGATAGCTTGGACGCGATGTCGGCACACAATGTCAAAACCGACAACAAGAATTCGTCCTCGCCCCTGAGTCTTGCGTACTCGGCAATGGAATTAAGCTGCCTGACAAGCCCCTCAGTGTCGCTGACCTTGGATAGGAGATCGTCCTTGGTCTGGCACTGATTGATAATCGAACGCCAGATTCTCGTTGACTCTTCGAAGTCGGCTGTGTGCCACTCTGTCTCCGTTGCAACGAGAGCCAGTGTAGACGAAAAGCCTGCCTCCAGGTCGGAGACGTACTCAGCTAGACCAGCATCGTCGCCATAGTTTTGGTCACGACAGAGCTGCAAAGCAGACTCTGCCTGCTCTCGAAGGCTCTGAAACTCTTCCTTGTCGCCGATTGACATTGTGAGCAGTTGCAGCAATGTCCGAAGGCGGCGGACGGGAAAGCGGTCAGGCGCGTAGATTCTCAAAAGAGCCTCGGTAACCGGATCCTTAATGTCGTTGGGCTTGGGGTCGCTGGACGAGTTGAAGAGGATGAGTTGAATGATGCGCTCCAAGACTGCAGCCCGCTCAACATCCGCAAGGAAGAAAGTCCAGTCATTCCAGGATTGATCAAGCTTGACCATTGTACCTATTGTCCTTGACAATGTCTCGGCCTTGATGCTGGCGCTCCAAGCCACTGCGGGTGAACTCTCAGCCAAAGAGGCAGCCACCGTAGACAAGACTCCGTCTTCAACCATGTTCGTGCAAATGAGCTTCAGTGCGTCACGAGCATCGTTGACTCGGCCAGCCTGCTTGCACAAGTCCGCAAAGTACTCCAGCTTCGCTGTTGTCTGCGCCTTCTCCTTCTCCTCAGAGGACCGGTCCTTGACACAGTCTACAGATCGTCTCAGAGCTCGAAGAGGAGTCTTATCCCCGGGTTTAGACTCGGCGTTGCGGCGATACCAGTTGAAGAACATGAAGTAGAGGTGCGAGAGTTTGACGTGGTAAAGATTGGAGGCGTCTGCTTTCGAGAGAGCGATACTGGCGTCGCCCAAAATTTCCAAGAGCATGAGGCACTCTTGAAGTAGGCCGTCAAGCACTGTCCACGTCATTTTGTTGTCGTCGAGTTGAGATTTGGCGACCATCAGGGCCGAGTCCAAGGTTTGTGTTATCGAAGTCAGTAATAACTGTTTCCTTGACTCGTAGCGAACGTGATCTTTTGGGGAAGCGTCTTTCGTCGGCTGCTTCCCCAGCCATCGAAGGGCAAATCGGGGAAATTGAAGGACGAGGTCGTTGAGAAGTCCGTCGATGCTTTGAGCTTGATCGGTAAGTTTGCCAGCCAAAATTCCTACTGCCGACCTACGAGCAGCTGATAGATTGACCATGAGCTCCTCCAGTTCTGTGACGTCACCCTTCAGCGTCCCTTGAAGGGCGTCGTAAACTTCCTTCAGATACGTAGACAGCGGCTCCAGAGGTAAAGGTGTCTGTTTCCCATATACAGCTACAAGCTGTGCGACAACCGCGCAGCGCTTTGCCGGGGAATCGTTGGCCGGGTCCAGAGTCGCCTTGATTTTCGAAATCCATTCGGCTGCTTCCGTGAAATGGCGAGCAGTCTGAGCTACCGTTCCCAAAGCCTGATAAATCACAACGAGTGGTGACTTCGAAGCGAGCATCGGCTCCAGGCGCTGGCTCTTGACCATGGTATTGATGCGATCGAAAGCGTTGAGAGACTTGCGGTATGCCCCGGCCGAGTCAGACTTGACTCTGCGAATGTACGAGGTGATGCATCGAGAAAGTGGCGAAATGATGTCCTTGTCCACATCTGCCTTGTGGCCAGCCATATGCCACCAATGCAGACGCGCCTCCAATCCCAGGGTTTGTAATTCCAGTGCAGTTGCCGGGGCGCAACTTAGACGGCGGTCCACGGCAACATCGTCGTCTTTGCTTGCTAAGCTCGGGGCTAGAGAGAGGAGAAGCTGTGAAAGGAGGTCGAGCTGTCGCGCAGCCTTTGTCTTCGCTGAGGCAGACTCTTTTGCGGATTCCAGGAGGAGGCTGATCGGTGAAGTCGGATGGGAGGGGACCAAGTATGGCCATGCTGCCTCGATCGTTGCCGGTTTCTTGTTTGCAGATATTAAACGCAGGATCTGCATCTGAGTCGTAATGACCAGGCCGAGGGTCGGGCCGGAGAACTTGGCATCACCAAAGTCCAAGATTTCTGCGAGACCTTTAACTTTGGTGGTTGCCGCTGTTGTTTTAGTTGCTTTCGTCTTCGGTTTCGCTGAAGGTGCCATTGCGTCGATTCTTTGCCTCAAAAGCGTCAGCTCCCGCAGTGCATGCTCCTGGAGGTCTAGTCCGACAAGCTTGCCAACGAAAGAAGATATCCCACTCTCGAGTTGCAGGTCAGGCAGTTGCACTGCGCCAGAGGTATGGAGCGATCTCAAACACGCAAACGCAGCTCGAAGGCACTCTACAGTCGCAAGACAAGTGACTGTGGGAACCGTCGTTGTCGCGCTTTTCGTAGGCTTCGGTGTTGTTGTGGGTGAGGTTGAGGTTCTGTTGAGTGAACGTGGCTGCATCGGGGTCATGGGCATGGAGTTGGACCGCCTCAGGGGCCGTTTATTCTGGGGCTTTCGTAGGTCGTCGCCTGAATTTTGTCGCCGGCACGGGGTCGAAGGCTGGGCGGGAGGTGAAGGCTTGGAAGCCTCGGTGAGAGACTTTAGGGCGACATTGATAATGTGCGCTGCGAGCGCGGCCTTCTCCTTTGGTGTCAGTTCCTCCTTTTTGCTCGCGGTCGCGGCCCCCCGTGCTGTGCCAGTCGCCTTCCCTCGTGTTGTCGTCGTTGTTTTCTTCTTTTGCGCTGTCGATTGCGCCTCGGCTTCGGTCGCGAGAAGTTCTTTGAGCAGCACCGTGGTTGTTGATGTGCATGTTGCAGTCGATCCAGCCGCCGCCTTGACGGCGTCGACTTTGCTCTGTAACGAAGTCATTAGGTTGTATGTATTGAGGTCATAAGAGGCGTTTCGTCATGAAGTCTTTTTTCGTGAAGAGGGAATAGGAATTGTTTCCTGATCCAAACATGGGCAAATGGCCGTTTGTAGGTAAAGGTAGTTTGATGTGTGACTTCATGCTAGTCCACAAAGGCCTGCAGTTGGCAGTTGTCAGTTCTCGCTAAACAATGCCCCGGGTCGTTGCCCGGAGCAACCGCGATCCCGGTTCGGTCCGTGCAGCAGGGACCATTGATGCACGGGCCATCCGGAATTTGAGAACCGTGAAAGGAGCGCTCCCGAAGCTTTTTTGACACCTTCCAGAAGAACATCAATTTTGAGTACGGCAGCATAGTGAAGACGACGTGTGTGGGTAATTGTACAGGTCGGCTCTTTCCGCCCGCCCAAGATGTCTCGATTCGCAACACATAAGCTGTTCGCAGCACCTTCTTCAGGCCTCCGCGCCGTGGCCTTTGCGCAAGCTGCGAATCGCTCTTTCTACTTCCAGTCGCGACACTCGAGCTCCCTTCCGACGGTAGCGCAACTCGATTTCTGGAAGGGCCTCATCCCCAAGCCTTTCAGGCCGGAAGAGAAACTCACCGACGATCCCATGATCAAGCGAGTCAAGCCCAGGAGGAAGAAGGAGTGGAACCCGGCCACGTTCTACATTGTCATCTTCCTCCTGATCGGTTCCATGTCCATCAACATGCTGTCGACGAAGCAGGCGTTCGAGGCGTTCTCACGACAGGCAGACGTCCGCATCGGCGTCTTGCGAGAGGTGGTTGAGAAGCTACAGAGGGGCGAAACGGTTGACGTGGAGAAGGCGTTGGGTACGGGCGACCCTCAGAAGGAGCTGGACTGGGAGGAGAGTACGTTCTACAAATCACAAGCGCTCAAATCGTGTTGACGATGCTGACCACAACTTTTTACTTAGTGCTGAGAGAGATTGAGCGAGAAGACGTGTCACGACAAAAGAAGCAGGAAAAGGCACGGCAGGCGGAGGCGGCAACGGCGGCGGCGGCGAGTAGCAAGGCCGAAGCACAACCGACAGGGGCAGTGCCCGAAGCCGCGAGGCCGCCGGCGCGGGGCATGTCGAGCTTTTTCTAGTTATGCAAATGGCAACGCTTTGGATTGGTACAAATCGTGGTGGTCTATGACAACATATCTTTGAACACGCCATGGTTCTCTCTGGGCGCTCCTACCGTCCCAATCGGACCTGATGCGGTCTTTGGCAGCTTGCGTAGCTGCTCTACCAGCGCCGGAAGCACGACATCGGTGGATACTTCTGTCCGCACGCCTCGGACACCCGTGGGCTCCGGGTCTTCCACGGCGGAGATCTGGTCCTCGCCTCGTACGCCACCGGTGTTCACCACCGCAATGGGCATGCCGCGGTCCAGCGCCATCTTGGCCAGCCGCCAGGCAGAGTACGTGGCAAGCGAAGTCCCCAAGATGAGAAGCTTTCCGGCCCCGTCAATGGCCTCTTCGGCCGCCGTCTTGACGTCGCTCGGGATGCTCTCACCAAACATGACCACGGCGGGCTTCAAGATGCCCCCGGAACTGGTGGATTTCCACGCACCATCGTGGTCGACTTCGATAACGTGCTTCGTACCCTCGGGCGTGGACGGCGGCTTCGCGAGGCAGTGCGGGCAGGCCGGGTATCTGAAGGTGGTGTACGGCGCGCCTGGCAGATCCACGTCGCCGTCGGGGTTGGACTTGATGCCCTTGGCCTTGCGCTCGGCAGGATTCTCCGTGTCGAGCGCCCCGGAAGCTAACGCTTCGACGAGGAAGGCTGCCCAGGCCGGGTTAAGCCTCGCAAGCTCATCCTGGAAGGCGTCTCTGGGGTACTCGTTCCTGCAAGTCACACAGACTGTGGATCGTAGATAGCCGTGCAGCTCTAATGTTGGAATGTCAGGATGAGCTGTTGAGTGAAATGAATCAACGTTTTGCGTGATGACGCTCCGAATTAGGCCCATCTGGCCTATATCTCGGATGGCATAGTGACCATGATTTGGCGACGCCTTGTGAAGCGACGTCCAGCCCAAGAAACTCCTGGCCCAGTACCGTTTCCTCGCCTCGTGGTTGGCGAGGAACTCGTGGTAGTAAATGGGGCGATAGGTCTTGTTCACGCGATAGGTGCCATTGACACCTCGATAGTCGGCGAGACCGCTGGAGACGGAAAGGCCCGCCCCAGTCAGTACGACGGTCGACCTCGGCAGGCCCTTTGGAGGCGGGGCCGTGAAGAAATTCTGGAGGGCCGCGACAGCACCGGGGATGGTGTTTGCGGTGCTTGGACGGACTGTGGGAGGGGCCAAGAGTTCCGTGTAGGGAATGCGCATAAGAGGTTTGCGCATTGGGGCGATGATGTTGCGTTGTGGTGGTTGAGGTTGCGTAAGGCCTATCGGGATGTGGGAGGAAATTCCGGAGCCGCTTAAGAGTCTCAGTCAAGGGGGAAGGTAGCTCCGGGGGATGTACGTGGGCTCGGCGGAGGCTCAGCAGAAAGAGGGAGGAGAGTAGACGGGAAAGGGGGTGGGAGGAAACGGTTATGTGGACATGTTCACCCTGGCGTTGAATTTAAGAATAGAAGTGATCAAGGGACGGAAGGAGATTTCTGACAAGCGCGTGTTAATGGAAACGTTGCGACAGGCTCAAAATCAAGCCGCATGGAAGAGTTGAAGGGGGCGATCTGATTATCAGTGGTCAATTCGTCATGATTCGGGGGGGCCTAGCATGCCAGCCCACTGAACTCCACAAGATGACCAAGCCCAGTGTGGCTTGAC